CGAAAATATTTGTATTTCATAAATCTTATATTATTTCGTGATATAGGTATTTTATGTAAAAATTACTAAAAAATTTTCATGTTAATGTTATAAACTTTATTTTCTTAAAGTATAACAGAAATGATTGATTGCTATTTTATACAAGTTTGTACTTGTGTAATAATATTCTATAATTGGAAAATGTGTAAAATGTGCAGTTGATTGTTAAAACTTTTCGAAAAAATTTTTGTTTAAAAAACAAAAATATCTTCTTTTAATGCTATTTCAGCTTATAAGGGTAATTAACTGTTATATTATTTTCTTAATCATAAATTTAAAAAAAATTTTTATTCTTAATTATAACTTAGGTTTAATTTTTGCTTTATCTATTCTAAAATTAATGATAAAATTGTACTCCAATAACGACCGCTGCATCTCGTAAAGGCATCTCAGAAAAATTTCAATTATTCAATGAAAAAATTTTCTTGATCATTTGAGCAAACGGTAATTTTATAAAAATTTTTAGAAATTTTCTATAAAATTTTTTGCAAAATAAAAAAATAATATTTTTTCCTGACTAACGGTATAGCATTGGAAAAAAAAATGTCAAACTTCTTTGTAAACATTTAAAGTTTGTTGGGCAGTGGAAAAGTATATTCCGAGTAATAGAAATATCTGCCATACATATAATAATTCTGTCAGCGGCACCATCAACTTTTATAAACTTCAGCTATCAACTGTATGAGTTTTAACTGTCGTTTTATTAAAAACATCCGCGAATATCACAATTTAACTTTTGATTTTTGTTTTTAACAATACAAACTCCAATACACATATTAACTACCACCATTTTCTAATTTTTCCATTTTGTAAAAATATAAAATTCTGTTTTCATTTTAGAAAAGTTTTTTTTTTCTTTATAACAATGGCGGTTTAACAATTAAATTTTCTTTCTTCTGTTAGAAATCTTTTTCCTAAAAGTTTTCTTTTCTCTATAATATTTTGTTTGTATACATATACAGCGTCGAATGTTACTTTGCACAACTTTATTTCACAATATAATAATATTAAAGTTTTTCAGAACAAAATATAACAGTTGAGGAAACAGAATTTCGTTCCGCTTCGTGAGATCTTTCATAATAAGACCCATGTTCCTTATAAAAAAGGCTTTTACTTGTAGATGTTAAATTGTAGTTTTATATTACTTATAAGTTCTAATCTAATCACTATTAATTTTATATGAAATGGGACAGGTGTTTGCATCCGAAAACAGGTATTGTTTTGTTTGAAAATTATTTAAAAAAATATTATGGGTCGGAAGTTGTTCTGAAAATATTATTGTTATTAAAATAATTTCTCAAGAAGACTCTCACAAAAACCCGAAGATAACCCGACTACAGATAACCTCCCAGCTCTGCCAGCCTCCTTCCCTCTCCAACGTCAATCTATCTACTTTTTTTATTCTAATTACTGTTATATACTCGTAACATTAATTTGTATTTAATAAGAGGTAAATATTAACAGTGAATATAACATTATATTCACTGTTAATATTTATATGTGTACACATATTTTAAGGCATAAATAAGGCATAATAAAGTGAGGCATAAATCACGATTTCATACATCCACAAGGGTTCTTAGAAAATTATCGAGCAGAAGAAATTATTGTGTTGCAAAATTATATTCTTTTCCACTCTTTTTATGTAAAAGGAAATCGAACGCTTGTTATCACTAAATTGTTAAATAAATTAATTTTTTCTCAGTGTATCTATGTGTTTTCGTACAATGTATTACAAAATTATGTAATTTTACATTGTATATAGAACAAAATTACATAATTTTTGTAGCAATATTTGATATTTGGACGAAAAAAAAAATGAATTATCTGAAATCTTAAATATTATGGCAAAATAAAACCGATACACTGAGAAAAAATGAACTATTACATGAACTAAATCACATAAAATTTATGAATTCAATATTATATCCAAAAGTTTTTATTTACTAATTATTGTTATATTATTATTTTACGGTCAGTGGTCTAATTTTAGTGTGTACAATAAATTTTAGTTCCGCATAATTAAAATTTCAATTAAAAATGGCAAAATAAATTATAAAAACGTGAAATTTATTGTGCTAATGAAATACCAATTAAGCTTTAATTTCTACAAAAAATGGAATGACTTACAACAAATCTTAAGTATTTCTAGTTTAAAAAATTTTGTTCAACACATAATATTAATTTGCAATTAAAATGGTACCAAAAATGTAGGATAGAGAAACTTTAGTTGCTAGTAAATTTTCAAATTTTGTTCTACTTCTTTCAAATGAATTCAATTCTGCCAATTTTTTATTTTATTACACACAACTCATATTCAATACCTTACGTACCATTTTGTACAATGTTGCTTTAAAAATATCATACAGACACCACCCTGAGGGGGAAAAATAGGTTAAAATAAAATAAAATTATAATGTTTTGTTTAGTTTTCAAAACTTACTTTCTTATTATACATATATGACTTTTCCTGTACAGTTTTGAAATAAAAAATTCTAGAATAAAATGGAAAAAAAAAGCAAAGTTTTTATTCTGATGCTGCAGTACAATAAATAATTTTAGATTTTTTTTTTCTGTTTTCTTATTTTTGGATTCAACCCAGTAATTCTTTTGTTGACTCTTTTATTGTGGAAATCATGGTGCAATTTTGCATCAATATAGCCCACACAAACACACACTATTGTGAAGTAAAAAATTTTAATTTTTATTTCGTTTCTTTTTTTTTCGTGCATTAAAAATGAACTCACTTAACGCCTTAGCAAAATATTATTACTAAAATAGAAATATACAGTAAATAAATTAAATAACTAGAAAAGTTTTCAAGTTTTATAAAAAATAATAATAATAAAACAAGCTATACGAGAATTGAAATTTAAGAAGATACCGTTTTATTTCATAAAAAAGAAAGGGAAAAATTTAAAATATAGAATTGCAACACACAAAAAATAATAATGGAAAAAGAAAACCTATTAATTGATTTTTCGTTTTTTTTCCCATAAACAATGAATTAAACTTGTGTTAACTGGCTCAACTCTAGGTTATTCAATTGAATAGTGTACAGTTGTTTTAATTCGGTTATTCAATTTGAAATTTTAAATTGGCAGTGCACTGGAATTTAGGAGTTCACCCGAATATCCTTCTCTCACTAACGGTTCGAAATTCCTATCGTGAACTTTAAAATTTCCATAAAGTCCGAAAAAAATTCGTGTATTATTGAGAGAACAATTATTGCTCTCACTAGCGTATAAAACAAAATTTGAATAAGCGAATTTTCTCTTCTATAGAATGTAGTCCCTAAAAAATCAGCCCCAGAACTGGAACCATCAAATGTGATTCGAAAACTTGAAGTAATTTTGAATAAAAAAAAAAGTTATTTTAATTTAGGAATTATTTTTATAAGAATAAAATTACAATAACTAAAGCAACAAACCTGCACGAAATAGGACTTAGTTACGGTTATTGTTCGTCACGAGATAAAGTCAGAGGGTAGGTACATCAGCCAGTATTTCCACATTGATTGCTCTAGTAGTACTTGCTATAAATATGTTATCTGGAGTTCCATATTGCAATTCCACATTATTTTAATAGTAGGTAAAATGGAAGCATATATCAATTTCCCGTTAATTTTTCTATCAAAAAAGGGGGCTTCAAATTTTGCAGAATTCATACCATTCGAAATATGAAAGTTAATAGTTTTGTTTTCATCCAGTCTAACAAAAGAAGAAACACATTCACTATATACAAACAAAATAATATTACGTTTGTAATGCTTTAAAAATTTAAAATTATTTCATTGGTAAGTTTTCGTAATTCTACACTTTGTAATGAAGACCTTTTAATATCTCATATATTCAATCCAATAAAGCAAAATAGAAGTAGAAAAGAGCAGAAGAGAAGAGTTTTTCTGAGGAGGTTTGAATTGAATTAACTGTTGTTACTAACTATTACAAGATATTTTGCCAAAGGAATTTTATATTATTTTCCGTAAAAAAAAAAATATTATTGAATTTATTTACTTAAGGGAGAATATTTTTTATTATTATTTTTTTCTAAATTTTTTTTTTTTTTGTTGTAATCAGAACAATCTACTGAAATGAGAGAATATAATGGAATCAGAGATAAAGTGTAACAGGATAATAAAATTTTTTTTTTCTTTTTCTTTCAAATTTTGTATTTGAGTTGGAAAGAAATAGAAGATATAGTAAGAAAAAACTATTTCGTGCTTTTTGTTCTAAAATAATTAAATAGAGAAATAAAAAATTTACTCTTAGATTTCTCGTTTCTTGTTTTTTTTCTGTTTTTTAATTTAATTTCAAAAGTAAATGAAACATGGTAGTTTTTGTTCCAAAAATCTCATATATTGCAATTAAAATTGATGTAGATTTCTTCAAAAAAAAAAAATAATAATTATAGTTTCCATGCATATTTCTTGATGACTCTATTTTATGCAAAAGATAAATAAATAAAATAAATAGAGAAAACAGTTTAATTAAAAAAAAAATGAGAGAGAGATCATGTAGGACAGTAGAAATGCAAATTCAATTTTGAAATTACTTTAAATTTAATCAGCCACTGTCGGGTGCTCATGTGATTCCATATATTTTGGGTGAGTAAACGAAGTGGGTAGAAGGATATCAGCAATGTTTGGGTGCCACTATATTATTCGGTAATAGACATTCACGGACCTGGACCCAACGAAGGTTTTTGTTACATATAGGCATTAAGGAATATAAATTCCAACGTTTCAATGAGGGGGCGCGGGGTCTTCATCTGCAATATTCAACCCGTTGCGTTCCTACGATAGGGAAAGAAAAATAAGAAGCTAGAAAATTCTCAGAAAAGCGTAGTTTCGACATGTTTTTATATGAAATATTCTAAGTCTAATCTCTTTTAATAATTCTAAAACAAAATTTATCATTTTCTTTTAGAAATTCATTAATTAAAATAATTTTTTATTTCAGGTAATAGTGATAGCGGTGTACAAACAGAAGGTGCTTTATCATCACCAGAAATATGTTCTAGTTCAAATCCAAATGAAGATGAAGATTATATAATTGAAACATCGACAACAGCACAATCACATTCAACAACAATATTAGCTTCATTACCAACACCAAAAATATTAAGACAAAATCCAAAGCATCATAATGATATTAACAATATTAATAGTAATTTTAATCATAATATTTCTTCTTTAACATCATTAACAACACCTCAACTTAATGTTGGTGCAAAAATCTGTACTTCATTATTACCAATCAACAGTATAAAATCGTCAACATTAAATACATTTCCATTTAAAGAGAAACCATCACATCGTGAAAAAAAACTATTAAAAGAACATAAACAAACCAAAGAATATAGTTCATATCTTCAACAATATAGTGATGCTAATTTAAAAGGATTAGAATTAGATGAAAGAATAACAACAATATCAAAAGATATAAAAACAGCAACATGGTTATCATCATTAGATGCTGATGCTTCATCAACAACACCAGCAACAACAATACTTCCAATTTTAGATAATTTTAATATAAAAAAACAAAACCAAACTGAACAAACCAAAAATCAACTTTCATCCAACTTAACAGAATTAAATAAAGATGTTGTTGATGATGATTATGTTGATAGTAATAATCATGATCATCATCAGAATAAGGATGTTAAAAGTTCAAGTAAAAATTCCCGAATTAATAGAAAATATAATAATGAAGAAGAAAACATTGTATTATTAGATGAAGATTTTCATATTGGTTATAATAAAAATTCAAAAGATTATAATAGTAAAATTAAAGATTTACATGATAATGACACAATCACTAATAATGAGAATATATCGGAGAAGATTCAATGGATGGAAAAATTGGTTATGATTAATAAACATCTTCAAAGAGAGGAAGAACTTTTAGTACGTTTAGGTGCTAAAATTCGCAAATATGAATCAGAAAATCCATTATTAGATGAAAATCAAATAAGAGAAGCATTATCAAAAGTTAATAATCATTTAGAAACTGGTAATATGGAAATTGAAAAACTTGAATTAGATTTGTTATCAACAAAAGAACAATTAGAAAAAAGATTTAGTTTATTACAAAATTTAAATAAAGAATTAATTGAAAAGGAAAAGGAAGAAGAAGAACGAAAGGAAGAAGAAGAAGAACAACTACAACAAGACAACGAACAAATACAATACAATGAAGAAGAATTAAAATTGCAACAGCTTAACCAAAGTACCAATGAATTTGGAAATGAAAATCAGGCACAAACCCCATCTCAAAATGAAATAAATCCAAGTAAACGAATCAATCCAGATGAACTTAATGGGTATTGTGCTGAAGAAAGAAAATGCGTAAAGAAAAAATCAGAAACTAGAAAAGTTGGTTTTAGTAATTCAATAAAAGTTGTTGATATTCCATTGGATGATATAGAATCTGAATCAGAAAATGATAAATCTAATAATTTAAATGAAAATCAATTAGTAAAAGAAAATATTTCAGAAGAAAATCAAATTTCTACTGAAATCAATAATAATAATCAAGATGAAAATAATCATAATCAATTGACAACTTTAATTAATAAACCTAATATTGATGAAACTGGAACCATTTCTAATTTAAATCAAAAAGATTTAGTTACAAATCTTTATAATTATAGTCAATATATATCGAAACCAAATTATGATTTTAATGAAAAGAATGAAACAAAAAATAATCGTGGAATTGATGAAAAATTACATTCAACAACCAATCCTTCATCATCGTCATTATCATCATCATCATTATTATCAACTACTAATCATAAAAATAATAGTAGTAATAGTAATACATTACCTTTAAGATCAAAACCATCTACTGGAATTCTTAAAAATAAAAATACTCCATCATTAATAAATTATAATTCGATTTGTTCAAATCAATTGCAATATCAAGAACAACAACCTCAGCAAAATCAACACCAACAGCAACAATCAGTTAATTTAGATTTAATACCACCAAATATAAATTTAACATCACATCAAATGTATATAGCACCGCCACCACCAGGTTTTGATTCACCAAATTATAATAGTAATGATTTATTAATAACAGCACCTACACAAATTCAATTGAATCAACCATATCAAATTCAATTGAATCAATCAGGCGGATTCCCACCGGGAACAAATGCAACAACAACAAGAAATATTGCATCATCTATTGATCAACAATTAGGTTTATCATTAAATCATGCAAAAAATTTAAATTTTTCCAAAACATTAACAACAATAAGTTCTAAAAATATTAATCCAACAAATTCTTTATCAAAAACTGATTTATTACATAAACCAGGCGGTTTATATTTACTCGATAATTCACAATTTAAAACTCCTCCATCAAATATTAATAATAATTATTCAAATGGTTGTGGTATTGGTGTTTCAAATAGTACAAGTAAATCATTAATAACACCAATATCATCAACAACAGCAACAACACATATTGATAGATCATTAGTATCGATACCATCCCAATTACATATCGATAATCAATCATTATTACCGCATAGTGACGCTGCTGTTCCACAAATATCAGAGAATTGTTTTACATTAAAAAATAGTTATACTTTAACAAATTTAACACCACCTACAACAACCAATATTTTACTCCAAAGACAACCATCAAATTGTAACCAAATAAATAATTGTAGTTTGTATTCAATAGATCATCAATCTATTGCAAGTCAAGGTAGTGCAACAAATTTAAATAAAAATTTATTATTAAAATATGGTATTGGTACAATAAAATCACAAACATCAACCATATTACCAAATTCTATGAATAGTGTTAATAATGGTATGCATAATTATAATGGTATAACAACAACAACAATTGATGCATTTTCAACAAATACAACATCAACAATTCCACATTATAATGGAAATTATAATAACAATAATAATAATAATAATAATAATAATAATAATAATGGTAATAATATTGCTCTCGGAAATCATTATAATATAATAAATTCAAATCCAAATAAATTAGGTCCAAAGAGATTTCTAAATAATAATGGTAATGAATTTGAATCAAATTCTGATACCGGATTAAGTTCATTAAGTGATGATGTTATACATTTAGGAACTTTAGTTTAAAAGAAAACAAAAAATTTAACAAACAAAATATTCATGAATTATAATAATTTTTATGTTAAAATAGAAAACTTCTGATAGGCAATGAGGGTATAAAATGGTCGAAGTCAGAATTTTGCGTAAAATAAGTCAATTTGGCAGGAATAGAATTGATCTAGTCCAATCAAATTTTGCTGACAATTCTAAAGATATGAACACGAAGACTTTAAATGCTCTACTTTCTTGTTTTTCTTTTAAGTCGACCTAAGCAGCTCTGAAGAGCGTAAAATGTGAGAAGAAAATGTAAAGAAATTGGATGTGCGATGTTGAAAATTATAAACGCATACTGTAAATTTCAATATTTTAGATGTTTGCGCTGTGCTTACAAATATTTTTTAACCAATTGAATTAAAATTTTGAATTTACAGAAATAATTCTGTCAAGTTGCTCGTAGCTATTCGACATTTAATAAATTTTCTACAATATTACGTGTCCCACCTATGTCTAAATAAAGTATACAAAAAATTATAATATTTTTAATATTTTATGATTTACGAATAAAATTGCTTATTTAGTTTATTTTAAATTTTTCGGAAAAAATTAGTCAAAATTTTTAACCTCATTATTTTATATTCCTTTTATTGAACATAATAATCACAATAGTAAATAATCAGTATCTACATATATCAAATTATTTATATTTTAATTTAAAATGAAAATATAATTAGCCTAATATTAAAATAGAATTGGCTTTAAGTTTATCTATATTATTTCTGGGAAAAATCCAACCGAATACCAAAAGATATTAAAAAAACATAATAAAAATAATTGAAAAAAATTGTTATAATGGCAGCACCAAATGAAACCAATATTGCATATAAGAGGGTGACTTTTTGACTGCTTTCATATATTAGTATCATTATTTTTCAAACTGACTTAGATTGATAGCGAAAGCTGGCGCCCGAACAGTAGTTTCGAATATTATGCAACAGTTAACGAAAAAATGCGTTAGGTGGCAAGTGTTTTAAGAATTTTGGAATTAATAGAATTAATTCTCATGTCGTTTCTAAAATAATTCCCTTTGGGATCTATGTAGTCCGTAGTTTATTTAGAAAAGTGCATAACTGTATGCTTACAATGGACCACCGTAACAGTGTTAAACAAAAATCTGAAAAATCACCCATTCCAATTGTCACATATTATAATAAATTATATTATAATATTATAATAAATTAAACAAAATTCATTTGTATAATTATAATAATGATAAAGATATTGTAAAACTAAATGCAATCACTAATAGAATTCTAACTATAATTTTCAGTAATTTAAATTTTTAATATGTGTAAATTAAATACATTTTTTTTATATACTCGTATATAGCTATTTTTGGTTTTTATTTAATTCAAAATTTGTTGAATTTTTTTCGACACGTCTATTTAAAATAAATTCAGTCGCGAATTTTATTCATTTAAATTCATCATATATTGTACAAAATAAACCAAACACAACCAATAATTATTATGGCACAGGATTTTTATATAATCAAAATAAATATGGAACAATAACGCATTACCAATTTAAGATTTAGAAAATAATATCAAATTTAATATGAAATTTTAACTAAAATCATGAGGAGAATTGAGGCAATCACCAACAAATTATTTTAAAAAAAAAATAGTTTAATATTCGATGTGTAAAAACGCCGCGGCATTAGAGTTGCAATAATACTGTTATCAACATCGTAATTGGACTAGTTTCATATTAATATACAATTCAGCTCATATGTTGTATGTGCTGAATTGTGCATTAAAGTAGTATTATTACGACTTCAATGTCATAAATACATAATTCATTACTTAGTAGTTGTAACTAGTTGTAAGCAGTTTTATAAATACAATCTTACAACGATTTTTGGAATCGAAACACTATTAACACAAATTCAGCAATTAGTATTTTTTTAGCTGAATTATTTATTTAAACAATATAACCATAAATTTGAAGTTAAAGTAATTTTTAATTTAAATTTACAATGTTTTAAAAATTAAAATTTTAATTATCTTCCTGAATATTATTTTCTAGAGCATTATGATTACTTAATATACATACATACACGATAAATACATAATTAAATACTATACAAGACATATACATAGCTAATTTTCTAAATATTTTTAATAAAATTAAATTTGCCAATAGAATTGCTTCTATGGTAATTATAGCTGCGTACCAGAAAACCTTTTATATTTTGTATTATTTTTGTTTTCAACCACGAAAGATTATTTTAACTAAATGTATTCCACTAATATTATTTTGGTACCTATTTTTTAAATTATAGAAATTTTAGAAATCTCTACATAATATTGATGACAATTGAATTTCAATTCACATTCAAAATAGTTACAATAATAGTACTAATCATACAAATTTATTTGACGAATGAAAAACCACAATTTAATCTTAATTAAATTGAAAGCTAATTAAAAATCTTATTGTACAGTAAAATGGGGCATAATACTTAGTTGTATTAAAAAAATATTCAATTAAATTTAAAATTTTAAGTAAGAATTTCATATATTATTTTGTGTATTAAAAAATTATACCATTGTGGTTTAAGTTTTTATAAACGAATTAAGTAAACGATTCGATTCTAAATATTTCCATATCATTCCAAGATAATATACGAAATTTAAGAATCAAATAACACAAGTTTAAAACTTAAAAATATTAAATTCAAAATTCCGGTTACAAATTGCAAAAATGTGGTCTTAAAATCCAATTCAGCTTAAACATAAGTTGCTGAATTTAAATTGAAAATAAATTTTTCAAATATAAATTTAAGTATTTTTACTGCATTATGGTAGTGTAGTAAATATTATTAAATTTATGGTATAAAATATCTTAATTTCGATATTGCAGCAAAAAAAGTATTTATATATTATTCAGCTTAATACTTGCAATTGCTGAATTAAGTAGTAATACAAGATTAAAAATTTAAAAAAAATTTTTGTTAAATAATTACCGAAAAATTTATTTTAGAACACAAATATCTCGGAATTTCTTATAAATTTCTTATGGATTGACTAATTAACATTTCAAAAACTCTATCATTAAATGGAAAGATTTACGAATATAACCTCTATTCACATTTCGAAATAAATACCAATAACATTTTTCATTGATTCAGTAAAAATCATTTTTATTCTGCATTAAATCAGTGGTTTAAATTTTAAAAATTATTGCAATTCCATAATTTAATTCCAACTTGAAAAGCAATAAATTATTGGCCGGAGCTTTTAAAACTGTAACAATCAAAATGTTTCATGAGTAATTTTTTTTTTTACTGTAAAAATTTGTTTTATAGCTCCATTTCATTTTGTTTTAATATAAAATTAATATTTATTTTTTTATATTAAGCGGTTTTTGCACAATCTCATAAATAATTAATTAATTAATTGCAATAATGAGCCATTCATTTTTATTTTTGTTTGAATTGAAAATACAATACAAACAAAGAAAAATCTAATTATAAAATAATAATAATATTAAAAGAAATATTAGGAAAAAAATGGTTAATATAGTTGGTCAGATTAACTACATGATATGTGTACAATATTTTAATTACGATATCCTAATATTATGCTGTAAAATTGAAATAACTAGTTAGTTACCCTACACGTTCAAAATTGCAATGATACACTATTGGAATGATTCAGCTAATGTATTTTAATTGCTGAATTGCATAGCACATCATTCTTAATATTGTACTGAAATTATTTCAAGTCACACTTAATTGCTATTTATTTTTAAATGGACCGATGATTTCTTCCCTCATAATTTAATTTTCGATATTTCTTTGTTCTTACATTGGATTGAATTTCTACTTTAAGTGGAAATGTGAGTGAGTGATTTTTTCAAAGAGTGGCGAAAAGTCAATTATGTCAAAGTTAAATGAAATCATACAAACTAGGTAAAGTGCAAACAGAGACGTTAATTTGCCAAATAATATACCATACTATATAATATAAGACCAATTTGCCAGCTGACGAATTAATTTACAATTTTTAATGTTCATAGAAGTGGTTAGCGTGACTGGCTACTAAAATTTACACAATCTTGAAAGACTTAAATTGTTTATTAAAAAATTTCAGTATTTCAATTATTACTGAAAATAGTAACAAATAAAGCCTTCACAAATCCTTACCTCTTATGTATGGTATTGTGACTAATATCATAACCAGCAATATAAAATAAAATCCGTAATAACACGAATCTAGTAATTTAATTTAAAATACAATATTATTAAGTCATTTCCTACCCATTTGAATAATTTACCATGTTACCATGTTATTTTCCTTGTTATGCTTAAGTTCAAGCAAATTAATTATTCAATACCTTCTAAGAATATTACTATAAAATATTCTTACACATTCAATTACATATCATTTGTTAGCTATTTCGTTATAACTCTTGTTAGAGTGGTATGAAAAATTAAAAATTTAACCAGAAATTGATTGCAGACTAAGTACTAATAAAGGTCAAATATATAAAATAATATTTTGGTTTTCATTGGCGATAGCCAATATATATTATAAAAAAAAATAAATAATTTTATTTTTATTGTTATTAATAGCTAGTTTGTAAAATGTTATGGTTAAATGAATTTATTGAAAAGTTAATTTTTCGATTTTATATCTTGATTATAAACTAAAAACACCTACATTATTTTATAGTTTATTTAAAGGTCTATAATAATTTAATATTAAAAGGTCCTATTATTCGTTAAATGTATATGTATTGTGTTATTAAATTAAGAAATTCGGTATAGTTTGTAAAATAGCACAATTTCATTTAGAAATTTAGAATTTTAAAGGGCAAAATGTATAAAATAACAAAATGGAATAAAAAAATGTACGTGTAATTATTGCATACTTTTAGGGGCATACTTTGCATATTTTTATTGAATATTTTTTTTATAAAATTTTTTATTAGTATAGACGTTCAATATACTTTTTACCTTAGTT